CTTGGCGCCCGCCAGTTTCCCTGTTCCCAGCCGTGGTATCGAGGAAACGATCACATGGAAGGGGCGAAGGTCGGGCATGGGCATGCCAAAATCAACGTGCAGAAGCGAGTGGTTAGGCCGCGCAATAGCCAGCTCCACCACCTTGTTGACAACTGACTTAGTCGCAAACTGTCTAAGCGCAGTTGGGACTGCCACGAAATCAATCCCCCTCGTGGCCACGAGGCCTTGCGGCGGCGTCCAAGTCTTGGAGGCCCGCGGGCCACCCGCGAAAGTAGCAGGCAACATGGCCGCACATTCCTTGAGGCACGTATCGAAACAGGCCCATTAAAGCTTTAATTCTCACGGGCCACGGGGCCAACCGCATCCGAAGGAATGCTGCCAACCGTAGCGTTGGCATCTACAAGCAAAAACGTATACGGAGCAGCTCCCATCGTTCGTTGACCACACCAGAAGACTTGTCCCACCACTGTTCCATATCATTTTGCGATGCTTTGAGTGCGGATCATGTCCAACAACACAGGAAACGGACACGGATCCCACCGCTAGGTTGGCCACCAAGATAGCGGGCTCTGCAGCTGCAACCGTCACGAGTTGCCGTTTAACGGTACTGTCAGCCAATGAAGTAACAAGAGGGACCGCTTTTGCGAAGCCAGAGAGAGCACCCATGAGTCCCTTGTTGGGTGGCTGGCCCGTGCAAGACTAGGTATTTCCCTATGCCCGTCCATCCTTGACGGGGGACCCTTGGCTCTGTCGTGCCAGCGATAATGATCTTGGCTGCTTCGACCTGAGCTGCAAGCATCCGCGGCCGTCCTGCTGCATGCAGGCCAGCATGCGCCTTCGTGCAGGTGCCCAGTGCACGCGAACTCAGAATATTCGCAAAAGCCATGCGCACAGAAAGCTTGGCATGCGAAACAACATCTCTCGCTTTGGAGACAGGGGCGCCACGAGCGGGAGATTTGCAGAAGGGTAGGTCATGATGAGGACCACGCGGAGAGGGGCGAGGCGGACAAACATCCCTTGCGCTAGGCGCGTCGGAAACGAGAATGAAATCACCCTGACACATGGATGGGAACTGCTGTCTGCTTGGGATGTCTAGCAATTCAATCCAGACCCAGGATGCCGCCAACGGGTCAGCAAGCCAACCAGCCCAGGGGCGCACAGGGGGGGAGTCAACTACCTTAAGCGCTGCTAACGCGGACCGTGTATCTGCCATTTCATTGAGGGGATCTTCCGAATGGGACTTAACATGATGAAGGGGCAGTGGGTTCAACTTGCTGGAGAGCGAGGACCAGGCACCTTAGACACTTCGTAAGACCCGAAATTTCAGGCAACCCTCCTAACCCAGGGGCCGCTCGCATCACCGATAAGTTGTCAACGTGAAAGCAACATCTCGGCACTTTGCTTGTAGGGCCCATGCTGTGGCCCAGATCATGCCGACTGCCTCTGACGCCATGCTAGCATGCACCCTGCGGACAAACAGAGCACCTAGGTCGAGCACCACTGCAAAGAAGCTTCCAAGGTGCCATGGCCCTGTCGGGGAGCACAGCAGAACGACAAACGCCCAAGAGGGTGCAACATTGCCTCCGCCACCCGAACCGTCCGTGTAGATAAAGGTCACGACAGGCGCTTTGATCCTCGGGGGGAAGGGGGGACAGGGATAAAAGAAAGGGACGGAGCAGAAGGCGCTCGATGTCCTCCCATCTCCTTGCAGGGGCCCACGACCAGGGTGCCTTAATCGTCTCAAGCAAAGCTGAGCACTGCACCGGTTGTGACCTTATTGCGTTGAAAGGACCGCCCTGGCTGCGATCTTCCAAATCGATCGGAATCGGGGTGGTCGGTTGGGCTATCCCGGCTGCTCTCCAGGCTCGGGGCCTTCTTCTTCTGCAGCCTCCCCGCCCTCTCCTCTCCTCGCGCTCGCCTCGCAGGCGAGCGAGAAATCCCCCGCCCTCGGCTGACCGCCGCTGTCGAACCCCCTCCTGGGCTCCGCGGCGCAGCAAAGACGGGAGAGGACGCAGGGGCAGACGAGCTGGCGCCGGCCATCGATGGCGCTGTCACAGCTGACATGAGAAACTGTGGGGGTGTCACAGTGACGCCAGGGGGGGCCTTGGACGCAGCCAGCAAAGCTTCGTGCGTGGCATTCAGAATATTGAGCTGCGACCCAGGCTGTTCACGTTGTTGTCGATCCTCTGCTGTTCGAAACAAGGTTCTGAGACAGAGAAGAGATCTGTGCCTGTACCACTGGCAGGTCCACAATTTGTGTAGGCTGAATGGCTGGCGTCGGCACTGGCTGTTGTTGTTGCGCTGGCAACCCCCACGGCGACTGCGGCGCAGATGTTGGTCCGCGCTCCACACCTGTCTCTCGACCTTCGTCGGCGTCCATGGCCTCTGGTTCGCCGAGGGGTTCTTGTGTCGCAGGCTCCATGGACTCTATCTCCGTCAACGCCTAATGATGCCTTGCAACCCATTGCTCTGAGATTTCTCTCTGCATTCGAAGATCGTCCAACTCCGCATCTTTGGCACGAATGGCAAACTCCTGTGAATCCAACTTCGCCTGCGATCGCTGCAACGCAGCCCGCTGGCGCTCTCTTTGCTGCTCCCAAGGGCGGCAAAAATGGATGGCCGTCAACAGAACTGCATGCCACTCTCTCTCGTCCTCGCTGATATCTCCCGCCTGATCCTTCATGCGAATCGTGGCCGCCAACACCTTCATCTCTGCCCTCCTGCGGCTGATATACTGCTTCCTGTCGCCATCTGTCACATCCTCTCCTGGCAACGGGGGAACTCGATGGTGATAGCCTGCATGCGCAGGAAGAGCAGGAAGGATGTTGAGCGGGGCGGGACCGTTGGACGACGCATCCTCCTCCTCGTCGGCAAACGTGACAGACGGAGAACGTGTGCGGGCATTCTGTCTCGTCTGACGTGCCCTTCTTGACCGACGGCGACCTTGGCTCTGAGCTTCCTGCGAGTCGGCTTGAGACTGCGACTGCTGTCGAACCTTCGGATCTCTCACCATTCCGTAAGCTGACGGAGGCTGCTGCTGCTGCTGCTGTGCACGCTGATGTGCACTCATCTGCTGTCGCTGCTGGCCCTGCCCGCGTGGGAAGGAGCTGCAACGTCTGATCTGGCATGCGCGAAGAACAAAACTGACACTCGAACGAGTTGACGGATCCACATATCTCACACAGCCAGTTGCCCTGCATTGATTGCTGCCGCTGAGTTGAATGATGATCCAAAAGATGGGACTGGGCAGCTGCTACTGTCACCAACAATGGATCTTCAGCCCTCCTCTGGCGAGCACGATGGTGCCAGGCTCCTTTTGGATGTTCGCGCGAAATCGCGGCTAGCCGCAACACGGGCGGCGGGCGCGCTAGGCTGGGATCGTCGGGTCTGGCTGGAAGAAAACACAATTGCCGAAATCACAACGCACCGCCAGGAGAAGCCTCTGGCGGCCCAAGCCTTTAGGTGGAGTAGGAGGAGGAGGAGGAGGAGGAGGAGGAGGAGGAGGAGAAGGAAAAGGATATTGAAGGGAGAAGGAGGAGGAGGAGGAGGAGGAGGAGGAGGAGGAGGAGGAGGAGGAGGAGGAGGAGGAGGATGTGGATGAGGGAGCAGGCAGGAGGAGGGGGAGGAGGAGGAGGAGGAGGAGGAGGAGGGAGAAGGAAGGGAGTTGCAGGAGAGGACCTAACGGGAAGCGAGTGCGATGTGGACTTGTCAGAACGTGTGCGAGAGGTTGTCCGGCCCGTTGCGTTTGAGACATCCTTCCAATACTGAGCTCCAAGATGTCGTTCGCGAGGTGGTCCGGCCCGTTTCGCTGGAACCATCCTCACAATGCGAAACTCGTAGATGTTGCGCGCGTGATGGTCTGGCCCGTTTTGCCTGAGACGTTTCGTAGCACAGGGGCTCCAATCACAACCTCTCTCATTCCATCCCCCGCCTCCCACTTCCCGCTTCCCGCCTGGTTCCTCTTCCCTCCTCCCTCCTCTCTTTCAGTTGCTTCCGAGTTCACAGCATGGCTGTGGAGCCTCTCACAGTGCCGACCCGACAGCTTACTCGCCGACCAGGTGCGAGAGAGTACGACACCCTCTAGCGTTAGCTTCCTGATAGGCATGCGTCACACAAGTTTCGTGTATACATCTCATGTGAAAACATCATGTTATCATGTTCGAACATGCCATGCCAGTCCACATTGGACGGGCACGCGATCGACCTTGGAAACCGCAGTGGGTTTAAAAACCTTGTTTGGGGATACTGCATTCCTGCTGTAAGTTTTTCCAGTGACCTGCTCGGTCATGGCTTGGGGGACTTGGGCAGACCAGCCGCAACAGGGGGAACTGAGAATCCCCCCCGCCCCCCACCCCGCCCCCCCCCCCCACCCTCCCCCTCCCCCCCCACGGGGGCGAACGTGACAGCCGCCTCTGCGGCCTCCCCAAAACTCCGACGTCGTTTTTTTCCACGACGTCGACGCCCATGCGCCGGCTTTTCATCCCGAGCACTGTTCTTTGTGAGGGCCCCGACACTTCCCGGTGAGGTAACTGGAAGAGGGGGGGGGGGGGGAGGTAGCTGGAAGGGGGGGGAACTGGAAGAGGAGGTAGGGGGAAGGGGGGGTAACTGGAGGAAAAAGGAAGAGGAAGGGGATGTAACTGGAAGGGGAGGTACATGGAAGATGAGGGGGGAGCAAGGGGAGGCCAAGGACGGCGAAATGCCTCCGCTCTGACTCTTCCGAGAGACGTCGCCCAGCCGGGTGTGTGCGCTTTTTGACATGCAAAACCCCCGCGTTGACTCTTCCAAGACCTTTGGGCGTCTGCGGCTTCGGCCGTCCCGCCCGAGGGCGCCCTGGACTGCGCCCACTGCCTGGTGCGCGGCGACCTGCGGCGCCCCGGGGAGCGGCGGGCGGCGCGCCGCCGCGCGGCGGCGCGGGGTCTCCGGCGCGGGCATCCAGCCACCGCCTCGGGCGCGCTCGCCTGCTGCGGCTTGGCGGCGGCCCTCGTGTACAGGCAGCTGTGCGCCGACGGCGCCGGCGGGACCGCGCGCGCCCCGCTTCCGCCAGCCGCGGGGCTCTGCCCGCCCCAGGCGGGGAAGGTCCGATGAGGAGAAGGGGATGCCGGTGCCAGTACCTCGTTTTCGCTGTCTTGGTGGGCTTCGGGGAGGTCCTGGTCGCCACGGCTGGATTCGCCTTGAGATTCTGGTCAGAAGGGGTTCCGGGGAGAGGTTTGGCGAGCAGCACCGTGGTACTTTTTTTCGGGCTTCCCAAGAAAAAAAGGTCCGCGGCCGCCGCCGCCAGAAAGTCCGGAGCGTGCGCCTGCGGCTCGGGGCTGAGCAGTGGCGCCGCCATTCGGGCGACGCGGGCGTCTGCTGCCGCGCGCACGGGCACGGCCACGCGCACGCTGCCGGGGAGCATGACGGCGGTCACTCCCACTCCCACGGCCACGACCACGGGCACGACGACCACGCCCACGGTCACGACCACGACCACGGGCACGAAGAGCACGGTGGGCACGGCCATGGCCACGGCCACGGCCACTCGCACGGCCACTCGCACGGAGAGATTCCGGAGTGGGTGCCCGGGAAGGCCGCGCTCCGGAGGTGGCGGGACACGTCTCGGAGGACGGGCTCCATGGCCACGGTCGTGTGCTTGTTCGCCGTGTCGGTGCTGCCGTGGGCCCTGCGGCCATTCCGGGTGCTCGGGCCCCTGGCGGTCTTCGTTACGCTCGGGGTGCCCGCGGCGGTGGAGTCGCTCGGGGCCGCCGCCAGGCTCGACGTGCACTTCCTCATGACTCTCGCGGCATTCGCGTCCGTCCTCATAGGCCACGCCCACGAGGGGGCGCTGCTCCTGCTGCTGTTTGCCCTGTCGGAGGTCATGGAGGAACGGCTGTCTCTGGGTGCGCAGGCTCCGCCGCCAAAAAGATACTGCAGGTTCGTGTCGTGTCGACGCGGCGGCGACCCCATCGCGGGCGTTCGAGGTTGAACGCCGCCAGTGGCCTGGAATCGACCGATGTCGAGCGACCTGCGCTGTCGAAGAGCCGCGATCGCTCAAGGATGAACTACCAATCCGGAGTCAGAGGCCAACCCGGACGTCTGCACGACGTGAATTTGCCGTGGTCATGCACGACGCCCCCGCAGTGGATCGTTCCCGGGCCTTTGGGGAGGGTGGCGGCGTATCAATCACACCGCTCACAAGATCCAGCTACTTTTTATGCACCGCCACCGTGGCTGAAGGCACAGGGAAGTCGGCAGGCGTCTGTGTCTAGATTTCCGTGGCGTGCAGGCCTCCCTGGATGCCCTGGCGCGGCTTAGCCCAGAGAGGGCGCACCTGCTCACTGGGCCCGCCTCGCTGGACGCCGAGACGACCGACGTGGCCGCCTCCGAGCTCCGGGCGGGGGATCGTGTGCTGGTGCGGGCAGGAGAGGTCGTGCCCGTGGACGGCGAGGTCCTGGAGGGCTTCTCGCAGGTCGGGCTGGACCACCTCACTGGGGAGCCGCTGCCACAGCCGATAGCGCGCGGTGACCCGGTGCTGTCGGGGGCCAAGAACATTGACGGGGCGCTGGTGCTGGAGGTGCGCCGGCCAGCTGCGGAATCCACCGTTCAGCGCATCGCGCGCCTCACCGCCGCCGCCAAGGCCTCGCGCCCGGGGCTGGTGACGCTCCTTCTCCTCCTCCTCCTCCTCCTCCTCCTCCTCCTCCTCCTCCTCCTCCTCCTTCTGGTCATCGTCCTCCTGCTCCCTGCGCCTTGTACCGCTGCCCAGCCCCCGTCTGTACGTACCCATTCTCTGTGCCCACCGCTTCTCCTCGGTGACTCTCCTGGACGCCGTGGCGGAGCGCTGGTCCAGGTCCGTGGTGGTTAGCACGCTGGCACTGGCCGCCTTCCCGCCGCTGCTGTGGGGGGCGCCGCTCGTGCCGTCGCTGTACCGCGCGCTCGTCTGGCTCATCACCGCGTCGCCGTGCGCGCTGGTCCTGGCGACGCCCCTGGTGTACCCTCTCGCCCCGACTGCTGCGGTTTGGACCGTTGGTGATGCATGGCCCCGACCAAGTGCAGCTTCGTCCTGGATCGCTGTTTGATGGCCCCAGGATCCGAAGACGGCCTCCCGACGCCGATATCGATGACAGGCTTGAGTCTTTTGCCTGTTTCGTCACGTCGGTGGAGGTCTGGCTCATGCGCGAGTATGCCCGAGCCCCTCTCTCGGTTGTCGGCCGGGCTCCGCCTGAGTCCGCTGTTGTCGCCATCTCAGCTCGCCCTCGTTGCAGTTTCTCTGTGACGTGGGCCCCGGGGATCTCGGACCAGCCAGCCTCCCATCCCCCAACTTCTTTTCGTAGAGAGGAGATCAGGGCGGCAGGCGTTTGGCCGTTGTCGGCCTCCAGGGGCCTCACCGGGCTTCCGGATCGTCAGGAGCGGATCAAGGACGACGCGCCAGTCCCGGGAAAGGGTCCAGACCTCTGGGGGTCGACTTTGTGGCAAAAGCGCGATGTCGGACTTTTAGGCCTCGAGCACTTCTTTGACGCTTCGGGGGCCGGGAAGCGGCCTCCAGAATCCGAGCATGACGAGAAGCCAGCCGTCACGTTTTTCTTGCGTCGCCCAGACCCGAAGGTACGTGTCCGGCCTCTCGGCGGCCGCTTCCCATGGCATCCTCCTCAAGGGAGGGCGCACCCTGGACGCCCTTGCGACCGTGAGCGGGTTCGCGTTCGACAAGACTGGTACAATCACGACGGGGGCCCCCGAGCTCCAGCGGGTGGAGCTGCTGGGCGGCGGCGAGGCGGGTCGGCCACAGCTGGGGGGAACCGTGGTCCCTCTCCCCACCTTCTCTCTTCGTGAATCAAGGCAGCAGGTTTCCGGCCGTTTGCGGCCTCTGGAGACCTTCACTGAGCCTCGGAACCGTCAAAAAACTGGTCCTGGAGAAGGGGTCCAGTTCCTTGGGGGTCGATGTTGCGAGACAACTCATTTGACGAACTTCATCACAAAGAACGAAGGGTTCTAGGCATCCCAGTACAGTAATTAGAACAACCAGCGCGCAAATAAACAGTTAACTTACAACAAACTACAAGCAGACAATCAGTTGCCAATTACTTGGGAAATACTTGTAAACTAATTGCCCAGAGGTCCGTGGTCGTGACAAGTAATTTGCAGCTGAATATCCGGAGTGGTGTCGCTCGACACATGCTGCGACTTCGCAGGTCCCCAGGTCCCTGAGGGGGCCCGGGGTTCTGGGGTGCCTAACACTAATTCACATTTGTTGGCCGCTCATGGTAGTCAATGATCGGTTTCTTGCTGCTTGGCGGCCGTGAACATTTTGGTTATGAAAAGGCCTGTCAAACAGTCACGACGTCGGAGCTCTTGGTTGGCCCTCCAAGGGCCGCGGGATTATTTTCCTGAGGTTCACCCTGCTTCGGCACTCCCTCTCGAAAGATCGCGGATGCGATGGGCTCCCCCGTAGCAGCTCCCCCAGCTGGTGGCCGGCCAACGAGGGCGAGGACCAGGCTTCGAACCGTCGCGGCCTCGCGCTCGCCGCCGCCCTGGGTCGCCTCTCCGTGCACCCGGTCTCCAAGGCGCTGGTGGCGGCCGCCCCCGCCCCCTCGCCCGGGGTGCCCGCCGCGGCGGTGGAGGGGTTCCGCCTGGTCGCAGGCTCTGGCGTGTCTGGCACGGTGACGGTGCCCGGCGAGGGGTCGGCCGAGGCTCGCACACGGGCGCCGGCAGAGATCTCGGTCGATTTGAAGCCAGAGTGGCTGCGGTCGACGTGTCGGGGTAACGCGCTGATTTCGGCCAGGTCTTGGGCCCTGGAGGGCTCCCAGACTCTCGCGTTCCCCGGTCTCGCCCTTGCGAACAGCGCCGACGTCGAGAAATTATGCCCGCGCGCACATAAACAAACAAACAGATTCCACTCAGCGACAGACGACCCTAAACAGCTTCAAACATGGTGCAGAGAGATGGGAATAGACGGAAACACCTCTAATGACCACAATATAGACTACCCCAGCGCAGTATAATATAATATGGTCACAATGATTTTTTAACGGTGCGAATAACAATACTTCTCTCAAGGCTCAGACTTACATGGATAATCTTGTTATATTCACCTGTGTAGTATGAAGGGAGTTGGGAGGCACGACGATGGCTGTATCGTCTACAGTCATGTGGCTCAGGAGCCCGCCACCGATGCAGAGTCTCGGTCTCGGTGGCTGGCTCAGTCTTGCCAACCTTCTCAGCGGCTGGGCTCGACGTTCCCCCGGCAAAATGCGATTGCCGGTGCCACTGCGAGCTTGGCGGTGGCGAGGTGGCCGCGGCGGGCGACGCGCCGGCCTGAAGCTCGCCGTGGACACGTGCCTCGGCGCCTTCGGCGGCCGCAGCCCGGCGCCCGCGGCGGTGCCGCCCACCCCTTGCCCAGCTGGCGCCTCGCTGGCCTCCGCCCTGCTGCCACTGTCGGCGTGGTTGGCGCTGGGCGGGCTATTGCTGGCGGTCGGCTTCGTCCCCGGCCTGGCGGCGGGGAACTGCTGCGCGACTGCCCCTCGGGCGCGCACCCCAACGGGCTCCCGCCTCCGCCCGGGGGCCTACGCGGGGCTGGGCTCCCCGCTGGCGCTACGCCGGGCTGACGCCTGATGGCTAATGCCGTCCGGGCGGCCCGCGACCCGCGGGTTCTCGACGTGCCGAACCCGCATCTACTATCACCACGGCTTCTTCTGCAGACGGACGGCATGGGGTCCGCACGGTCGCGACGCCCACACACTTGGTCCAGGTGCTCGACCTCTTGGTGCATCGCGCGCTGCCACTGGATCGGAAGGAGCCGGTCCCTGCCCCGTGCCGCGACGAGGCGTTTTTGTTCGACCCCCTGTCGGCGGCGGAGCTGTCCGAGCTGATGCGTCGGGGGAAGATGCGGGGGATCACCTCGTCGACTGGCGTAGTGGACGTCCGCTTGCGTATCGCCGACCCCTCCCGCGCGGCGTTCGCGACTGTGCTGCCCGAGTCGGCCGTGGCTGACCCCGCCTGCTTTATTGCCCGCGACGAGTGCGGCCTCGCTCTCGTGGACCGCCAGCGGGTGCACTCCGAGGCCGTGGTGGTCGGGAAGAGGGATAGTTGGCGGCTCGCCAAGGTGACGGCCTTCCTCCGCGACCTTCGCTTGACGGGTTGGGAGAAGGATCGACGTGGAGTTCCTTGCATCGTGAGGAGCTGGCTCTCACGAGGTTCGAGAACACGGAGATCGAGCAATTCCCTTTTTCTGGTCTTCGCGTGGTCGTCGAGTCCCTCCAGAGCCTCCGCGCTCAGGGCCAGACCTTGGTTTCTCATCATCACGAGTGGACACGCAAGAGCGGGGTGAATGTCAGGGGGGCGGCGTCGACGCACTTCTTCCACTTTGTGGTGCTTCGCTGCGCGGCGCAGTGCGATTAGTTCGACGTCTCGACGCTAGCCAGCACGGAACTCTGCTTCCGCCGCCCCGTCCAGATCGAGGCGGCGGTCCGTCGCAACCCCGAGGTGCCCGACTTCTCGGGTTTCGACGCGCTGACGAGTGCTGCCGCCGACGAGTCCGGGGCGGCGACGACCGCGGTCTTTGCCCAGTGGGTCGCGGATCGCCAGGAGGACCGGGCGACGATCGCGAAGCAGGGCCGTCTGCTGCACGAGGAGGAGGAAGCTGATCGCAAGTGGGCCGCCGACCCTAAGAAAGGGCCGGGGTTCGCGGACCAATGACTACGCCATCGGGGGGTGCCCAAAACGAGCTGGGCGACTTGGCCGCGCGGCCTGGCTCGGCCTTCCCCTTTCGCTCTGGCCAGAATTCATGTGTTGTGCAGCCTCTTCGGCAGGCTGGGCCCGTCGCGTCCTCGCGCGGCGACGCCCCCCCGTCGCCCCGCCCCGGTCCGGGGCCCCTTGGCCGACGCCAGTATCGCGCAGCCAAGCCGGCCGCGGCTCGCCGTCGCGTGCGACATGCTTGTGTGGCGGAGTCGATCGCGTCCTTGAATGCGCTCGCGGCGGCCTTTGCCCTGTCGCCTCTGGCAGCCGTCGACCCTCCCACTCGGCCACCCAGCGAGCGTCGGGCTTCGGTGATCAGCCGCGTCGGAAGGAGAGCATCTCGGCGGGGTCGTCAGCCTGATGCCTCGCCGAAGGAAGCCTTGTTTGAGTTTCTGAAGACCAGCGATACGCATGACACTGAAGCCCGGGAGCTCGGTCTTCGACGCCAACCGGCTCCAGGTTCTCAAGCGCCCCGCGTGCCCGAAGCCCTTCGAGTCGGTCTTGGCGCGGTTCGCTCTGGAGCAGCGCTTGCACTCGGAGCGGTGGATCGAGCTTTCGGCCGCCGAGATCGAGGCGGCCAAGCCCGACTTGGATCCCAAACTCCGCCCCCCTCGCCCAGCGCTCTTCCGTCTCCTGAAGGAATTTCTGGCCAGCGGGATTGGCGGGCTGTGGACCTCGATCCGCTCCCGCATAGATCTGTTCTTCCGCGCCAAGAAGGGCGGCTCTCAGCGCGTGATCGTGGGCGCCCGCGAGACCAATCAGCTCGCGCAGCAGCTCGGCGGGCCTGGGGCGCTGCGCGACCTGGACCTGAGTGACGCCGCCTTCGAGCTGATAGGCTGCGACCCCCGCGACGCCGACCTCCACGTGGCCGCCCTGGACCTGTGCCGGGGCTTCTACCAGTGTTGCGCCAATCGCCCGGGCCGCTGGCTCGGCGTCGAGTTCGGCCTCCTGGCTCGCGACTGGGGCGCTACCTCCTGCTACGACGTGGACGCCCAGTGCGACCTCCGTGATGAAAGTCTTCTTCATGGGCTTCGGTAGAGCCTTGTACTTCTGCCAGTGCCCCATGGAGGACGCCGCCCCGGTCGCCTCGGGCCCGCCGCCCTTGTCCCGCTGGGCGGGTTTCTCCGCGAGAAGTCGCTCGCGCATCTCCCGGGGCGCGGGCGCCCCGCCTTCTCGGCCTACGTCGACAACGGCAGTCATATGTTTCAACCGCGAGGATGCCCAGGCCGGCCTCGACCGCTACCTGGCCCGCCTCGAGGAGCTCGGCCTCGTCGTCCACGACGTCGAGCCCGCCCAGCGCGAGCTCGTCATCGTGGGCCCCCAGTTCCTCGGGGGCACCCAGCTGCAGCTGCTGCCCGCGGCCAAGCACTTCTAGCGGCTGTACCTCGCGCTCGAGCACCTCCCGCGTCGGGGCGGCTGTCTGGGCGCGACCCTGGGGCGCGCCGTGGGCCACTTGGTCGACCGCTTCCGACTGATGCCCTGGGGGCTCTCGGCCCTCGAGCATTGCCGCCGCTTTCTGCGCCGACATGGGCGTCGCGAGTGGGGTTGGTTCTGCCCGGCCCTGGCCGCCGTGCGGCGCGCCTTGAACGGCCTCGCGAAGCTCGTCGAAGCGGACCTCGCGGCGCTCCGCGCGCCCGCGGTCTCTTCGGGCGACAGCTCCACCATCAGCTGCTCGCTGGCCTTCGCGCGGGCGTCCGCCGCGGACATTTTCGACGCGGGCCGCTTTCGCGAGCGCCGGCGCTTCTGGGAAGGACATCTCTGCGTGGTCGACGGCGCGGGCCTCGAGGATCGCGTCTCCGCCGACGCCCCGCACCTGGCCTCGGGCTTCGGGGCGACGGGTCTCGACGTCGCCGGGGTCGTCGAGCAGGCTGGCCCGGCGGACGTGCCCGCGGCGTCTCGGCGCCGTCGGGCGCCCGCGCGGCTCGTCGACGTCGGCGAGCCTTTCCAGGCGCTCGACGACGCCTGGGCCGACCCCGCCCGCTGGCAGAGCATCGTCAAGGGCGGCTGGGCCCACCGCCCCGCCGCCCACCTGAAGGAGGCCCGCGTGGCGCCGATGCAGCTTCGTCTTGCCTCGCGCAGCCCGGCCCGCACGGCCTGCGACTGCTGGGCCTCGCCGACACTCTGAGCGCCCTCCTCGCCTTCGCGATGGGCCAGGCCAGCGACCCCTGGCTCCGGCTGCCGGCGCGGCAGGCGGCGGCGATCGCGATCGGCGCCGAGAACTCGCGGCACTTGCGCAACATTGAGAGCCTCCGCAAGTGCGCCGACACGACTTCCGCGCGGCAGATCGCGGCCAGTCAATCCCGCGGGCCACCCGCGCCTGCCGGCTCGCCTTCGATTCGGCCGAGTGGTGCCGCCCAGCCTCCTCTCCCTTGTCGCGTAGGGGGGCGGCCCGGACTGGCCGCGCGGCCCGCCTCGCCATCCCCGTCCGCGCAGCTCGCGCAGCGCCTGGACTTTTGGACGTCCCCGCCGCGGGAGCGGAGGCGACCCCCCGCGGCCGCCTCTCTTCCCCGATCCACCGCCGCCTCGAGCGCGCCCGGCGACGCTGGCGGCGACGGCGGCGGCAGCAGCGGCGTGGCGACGCCTGCGGCAGGCGACAGGACCATTGCGCCATTTTCGTTTCTGAGCGGCGCCGCCTGCCGCCTCGACGGCGCGCCCCGGCGCCGCCGCCCTCCGAGCCAGCCTCGGGCGCCCGCCGGCGCGTAGCAGAGCGACCTCCTCCTCGGCGCGTCACCAGCGCCAGCGCATCTGATCGGGGCGCCTTGGAGGCGCATTTTGGAACTAGCCGGCTTTCGTCGGCCCTGGTGGGCCAGGGGCTCCGCGCCCTGCCTCCAATGGACCACCGGCGGGCCCCCTTGCGACTGCACTCCTGGAAGACGGTTCGCGCGCTGGGGGCCAGGATCCGCGCTGGCGTCGCCTGACGGGTGCACTTCGGCACGCCTTGTGCGACCCGCAGCAT